CACACTACACACACACGACACACACACACACACACACACAACTACTACTAGTACATACACACACACACACACACACACACACACACACACACACACACACACACACACACACACACACACACACACACACACACACACACACACACACACACACACACGTTGGCAAGTTAAGATGAGTGTTAGAACCCGTGCATGTTATTCAGGTTTGACAGGGTGCTTCAGAGTTGCCATCTAACGTTAAATTAACATAGAACATATCAAAATGTGCAAATACAAAAATTGTGACTGTTCTGACCTTTTGTAGTTTCCTCTCATGAATTTCAGCAACATTTATTCCACCCCAGAGGTCCTGCATGGCTATGTCTTGCCCTCTGAACAGTTGTTGTGTCTTTAGCTGGCCATTTTTGTTCAGGCCTTTCTCATCAGAATGCTGTTTCTCCTCCGAATCAGTAGAAGAACTAGACATTTTTGGGGAGAAGGCTTTTTGGTGGACTGGCAGAACGTTTGAGGAACAGTTAACAACTGTAGGTAGACTTGTATCTTCTCTTTTGTCTGTATGTGGAGACACATTAGTAGCCTGATCTTGAGTTGACCTTGAGGCTTCAGACTCTACTGAAGAAGCGACAGTGGAGAACTGGGAGAGACGCTCTTTCTTTTCTTTCTTCTTCACATAGGTAAGTGTTTTCGTCTGTGTCTGCTGGGGTGTCAGAGGGTTTTGGGGTTTGTCTAGGCTCTTCCAGAAGGACTGCTTTGTCTCGCTGTGAGGCTGAGGCTGGTTCAGACTGCGGGGCCCCAGATGACCTGAGGAGTAGGACAGGATATCGGTCTTCTGACCAGCTTCAGCCGCCAGCAGCAGTCTGTGGATGTCCCTCCTGAAGCACCCAGGGCTCGGCTTACACCTGCTGGACATGGCTTCGAAGCCACAAAACAAGATGTTGTAAAGACAGTGACACCAGGTGACAAAATATGTTTTTATGCAACATAATTGTGATGATCCATTTAAAAGATGAAACCTAAATAATTTGAATACATTTATTTAAAACCTGCCTATACAGTAGTTAGAAAAAACTAGAAAGTAGTTTGAAACAAGCTTGAATAACATGACATGCTGGTAAAACTCTGCCTAGGGCTCTCAAAATGTCTTTTTTTTAATGAATGAATTTGGTTTTCCTAGCATTAGGTGCCATTTCAGCCCTGTAAATATAGACAAAAAGTTTAAGTAGGCTATAGTGCTGAAGTATAAAAAAAATATTTTGGTGCAGCTCAGAACATTAGCTCAAATAATTACTGTTACTGTGAAAAATAGTAACAGGGTGGACATTGTATGCTAAACTTGGCAATTGCTACCTGTGTGCTGATAATTAAGCTAGCACTTTGTGACAATCATATTTTTACAAAAAATGATCAGTTTCCACTAAAAATAAGTATAACATAGTGGACACGTTATGCTTTACCGCAACAGTCAAGCTCTTTATGAAGAGTGAAGAGTGATACTTGTACAAGATGTTCCCAATCCTTCTTGAGTCATACAATAGTAGAATAGTAAAGGGGCGCAGCCAGGAGGATTTCAATCAGAGTAACACGGGGAACATTCAAACGTGGGACACACTTTTGAAACAACTTTAAACAATACAAAATAATTAACAAGACACATTTAAATTTGGTGAGGAATATTAATAAGGGGATTATACGACAGTGACCAAAATGTTGAATTTGTTTGATTTCTTTTTTTTTTTACATCTGTTATGGAAGTTGACATGGCAGTTTGGCCTACTCAAATCTGAGTAATTATTTAGAATTTTGAATATCTTGGGTATATAAAATTGTTTCTTTTATGGTAAAAAAAAAATAATACAAATAAGCATTCGCCCTTTAAAATGCAAATGCTGATATAATGTTTTGGGGACCAAAATGGCACCGAATGCCAAACTAGCACGAATTCGACCAAAGTGCTTCCCGTTTTGGTTTTACATTACTTTATTATAGAATCTAGGTTATAGGCAGTAAAAACGTTTTAAGGAAGCAGAAACCACAAGTATTAATCTTACCTTTAGCTAGTTGTACTTTTTGTCACGACACAAAGTAAACTTTCCTCACGGCCCAAGCAGTTTGTTCTTTGCTCGGTCTCCATGGAAACCTAAGCGCGTAATGTCTGCGTTGCGTTCACTGTCTTGATAATAACCGTACCCATGAGTTTTGACGTGCTAGATCTAATTAACACATGATGAGGCGGATAGGCGAAGTTTTAAAGTGTATGCACCTGTACAGTACAGACATTTATTTTACATTTGGCACATTGTGCACAGTAAGTTTAGGTTTATGAGTATGCAAAGCCAAGCATTAATGAAAAATAATTTAAATATTTTGGAATTAGCTTGCATTATGATTTATTTGAGGGATGATTATGAGTCATTACGATACTGTTTTTAAAAATGATTTACATGCTGAAAATAACGCTTAGTCGTATTATTTAAAATAAAGACATTACTTCTTGCAATTCATGACACACATGAAATAATTTAACCAATCAAAGAAGTTGGGCTTCACTTTTAAATCAATATATTTCGAGTAGAGAAACGGCAGGTGGTATTTTATATGTTCTTGTTCCTGCAAACTCTCAACAAACATCAGAAAGAGAGTGTAGAAGATTTTTGGAGATCAAGCCGACTAGGCAAGTGGAGTAAAATAATTCCGTGGAGGATGGAGGAAGCTCCCAGAAGTTTATCAATAATAAACACATCCCGAATGATGCATTGACACATAACATTTTCTTTGCGGCTATCAATGAAAGAGTATAGTATAATACATGCTGGTCATTCACACAGGAAATAAAGACTAATCTGACAAAGAGATGTATTTTTTCAGGTATTTATTAAAAGTCATTTGGGCTACTGCTCTTACATTTACAGTTTAAACATTCCGCAATTATTCTTGGTAACAGTAACATGTCAAGACCGTTTTGTTTCTCTTAATGTGAACTTTGTACAAAACAAAAAGGCCAACATTATTTTGCTTTGTATAAAAAATATAAGTTAATTAAAATTTAACTCTAATTAAGAAAATAACAATAGTAATAATAGCAATAATAATTATAATTATCAATAATAATAAAAATGATAAAGATCATAACCTAAACATAGTGCAGACAATGGTATATAACTGGTGCTGAAAAGTAGGAGGGACAGTGCAGTGTTATGGATTTAAACATGTTCTCAGGTGGGGACGGAGTGGAAAAGAGACGGTCAAAAGCATTGTTTCTCAAACGCAAACACACACACATACACACAGTGTACAAACTAAGTCTGAAAGTGCACCACCGCCATTCAGTTTAGCGCAATCAGAGCATCTCAGTCTGTACAAACTAATTCCTAGATTGCCCACAGCATACACCTGTGTGCAAAATGATATATAAAGGTCAGTTTAGGTGCATGCTAATTGTTGCTCTTGGTTGAAGCTTACTGGAAGCCATTCTGAAACGTGAGACGGAACACAGCATGGAAACTGATGGCGCACTGACCCACGTGCCTCCACCATTTTGCAATCAACAAAACTTTCATCATAAATGTACATTCACACCATTGGGGGCCACAGTACCAGTTGTAAAAACAAATTATTTTAACGTTATTTTCAGTCTTGGAGGGACGATGTCCACTGGAATGACAGTTTCAGACAAGAAATATTGTCCTTTGGAAGATCTCGGAAACTCATTTTGAAAGAGTCCAAATGGACCCCCTTGCACGGCGCTGGAGAGGACGATTTATTTTCTTGGACAGGCCATGGGGAACCTGTGTTACACACCTGCAGAGTCAACCAAACATTCTTGTGTTGCAATCCTAGAGATAGACACATGATGCACTTTATCCCAACAGGTCTGACATTTTGGGAAAACATGAAGCTGACCATTTGTGAGACTTCTGTTGAGCTGCTCTGCCTGGCAACTACAGTTCAGTGTCATAAATGTTTCACACTGTAGCTTTTAACCCAGCAAGGACACCCGTCTATGTCAAAAAGATTCAGCATAGTCTTTGGTGACTCATTCTCCTATTCATCACTCCTTAACCATGTTGCTATACATCAAGGTTCCGTCTAGACATTACATAAGCAAGTCAACATGTTGTGTCACTGCAAAACATCTTTAGAAGCTGCTGGGACACCTAACCAACTTGTGCAGTATCCTCATGTTTTATTCATGAATGCAGAAATGATTACTGATTAATGAGGAGAAACCAGATTGCTGTGTAAAATAATGTATGAGGAGATAGTGGCGTGAAATATAACAGTAAAAATATAATAGTATACAAGCTTACTTTATTATAAGCCTGCACACTACTATACTGTGACTGGTGCTATTTGTGCATCTTCTTTGTCCTGCAAATATTACTACTGCTGGCCTGGGGACAGATCCTGCTATTCAGAAGATGTTAGATGGACTATGCAGCAGGTTCCTAAATGCCAGGAGGGTCCGGGGGCCGTGCTGTGGGGTCCACTTCAGGGAGAAACATTGTGACTCTCTTGTGACTGTGTCCACAAGTGTCCACATTATCTAAGTCTGCTCGTCCCAGTTCCTCTACGTTTAGCGGAATACGCTGCGGGGGGTTTCTCCACGTAGAATAGGCTGTATGTCTTTATTATTCAAGTACTGCAAAGGATTTTTGCTCAAAAAGTAATCAAAAAAACATTCTGACATCCACCTTCTCAGTAAGGTGGCATTAAACCATACATCTGCTCTACACATTCCTCCTGTCTCTGGAAATACCTTGCTGAAGTAGTGCACGTACGATAAACCTACCACAGAAGGCAAACAGTACCATTTCAAATCAAAATAAAAAAAGCCTGAACCGACAACAAGATTTCATATATGTCTAGCCTGTGAAAGGTTCAGAGTAAGGCCTCTGCAAATACAAGACCACAAAAGAATCAGCTCATATAAAATAAAATAAAAATCATAAAATAACGGAGCCAAAATTAAACTACCAAAACGGCACAAGTCCATTCTACCAAATGAATTCCCAAGCTGAGTGGATGTAGAGTTATGGGTCCAAGTTCTTCCCCATCGGTTGTCTGTCAGTCTCTGGGATCTGTGAAACCGTCAGTGCTGACACCTCCGTCACCCAATGAGGTAACTGTGTGTTTTCAAAGTCAGGTCGCCTTTAGCTGATCCGTCTCCTGCGAACACAGGATGTGGGTTTTCCCCCTACGACCAAGTCCGTGGCAGGATTCTTGTTGCATTCCTTTGGTGGGCCAGCAACCCCTTTGGTAGTCAGTTGTCCACCTTGACAGGGCCTGGATCACAAGGCCGCTCGGGCACGACGTCCTCCACCTCTCCCCGCGAGATCTTCTCCCATTGGCTCAGGTTATCCCTGCAAACACAAAACACTTCCATCAGACTCTGCATGCTGTCACAATCAGGACTGTGCTACTAACTCATTATCTTGGAATCTGAAACAAGCAGATGTTGTTGTATGTGGTTTACATTTAAAAAACAACCAAAAATATTTCTTATTCAACATTTTGTATGTTTTATATTGTAGTAAAGCACAGTATGTTGAAAAATACAACACTCTTATTTATACATTAATCAATCATTTTTTATTTAGAAAATCATGTCAGTATGAACAAATACAACCTAATAAGGCAAAAATGATTCATGTATTTATAAAGCTATTTTCTATTTTCTATCTGTCATAAATAAACCAGCGACTGTATTCACCATGACACAGACAGTCTGTGGTTTGTACTTGTTTAACTTTTGTCAAGTTTCTGAACAGATATGAGGAGCTGTGAGCTCTGAGGGCTGACAGCTAACGGCTGATGTTGGTTTTGTCAGAATCATAGAGAGATAATTAGAGATTTCTCTCTAGGGCTCTGGGTTTTGTGTTTGCGGGCGGCGTGCGTTGTCGCTTGCCGGCGGGGGGGGCTGAAACTCGACCAACAACCAATCACATGAATCTCCCGCCCCAGACACAAGCACGCGGTTTGATTGGCTAGAGCTTGTACTGGCATATGATTTGAGCACCGCGAGAGAAGCTAAACTTTGCTCCCACAATGCAGTTCGGCGAATCATGACGTCACCCCATTCAAAGTGAATGGGCAGAAGCGTTGAAGCGACAAATAGAGTTATAAACTGAGCTCTATTGGGGTCTTTAAAACTAACGCGTGCACACACACAGCAGCAGCCCTCTACTTGCTACAAACTTAAATATGAAAAGGTTTGACTACGCACACACACATATAATCTCGGCTTGCGCAGCACGATCACAGGCATAGATTTAGCAATAATGCATTGCGCACCTTGGAGGTGCAGTGCAGGCATATTGTCATTCAAGAGATGTGTAGTTCTTTTGGAAAACATGTTTTTCTTTTAGCCTATTTACCTCGTTAACGTAAATAATACGCATTACATTGACACATGCATTATTTGTGATTAAAATAATGGTTGTTGGTCATGTATTAGCGACCCCCACAGATGTAGGATTTCACCGCGTCCGTGGGAGCTCAGACCCCTCCTTATGGGAACTCAGCTCCCATTGGCTCCCACATAACCCTGCGTGCGAGGCCCTGCAGTGGAAATGCGCCATTAATGAAGTGTTCTTCTGATGGAACTAGTTAGTTGGCACAGAACAGTAAAACACTTTGCTGCCACAAGGGTGTGCAACTGATGTTAAAACTAGTATGAATCTTATTTTGTGAGAGACAATCAGACCTTTAAACCCAAACGAAATATGCACTTCTAACAATAAAATAAAGTAAAAAAAATACCAGGATAATATCAATTATGGTTCTGAGGAGATCCTTAATGAATGTCAATACATTGCTATACAAAAGCTCCAATAAACAAAACTGTATTCAATTCATAAATGTAATTATTTTTGCAACAATGAAAAAGACATGTCACTACAGCACCATGAAATCCATTGATCATCTGTAGTAGCATGAAGGTAACCTCTCCCCCTATGATGTCATCAAGTGCTGCCCTTTGCTGCCATCCCTTCACTGAGCCAGTTTACACGTCTGTGTCAGATCACCACAACAAGCAGCCGGGTTCCGCGGGGTCTGCGCGGGGTCTGCACGGCCCACCTAGGGCCCGGTGCTGACGTACGGTCGGGGCTTAAATATAACACCGCTCACTTTGTTTGCATTCCCGGGG